GACGGTTGAGTCTACCACAGACTGTTGAACAGGACCATAAGCTTCGCGGTCTGGCAAAGCGATCCCTGACCGACTGGACGGCGGCTGTTTGCCCACGAGCCTTCGTCGTGAGGGTTCCGCTACCGCTCCATTGTCATCTCGTTCTTCCAGTTGCGGAAAATCAGCCGATTCTTCCCGCAGTTCCATGGCAACCTGCTCTCCCAGGGATGCAGGCAAAATGGCCTCCCTTACATGGAGCACCTGCCCAGCTTCCGACCGCACGACCCAACCTTGACTCATATTGGGGCTAGCAGTCAGAAGCGTGGCATTGACATACGGAGGAGCAAGTACTCCAGGGGAATGCCATCGTTTCCTTTTCACAACCACAGAGGCACCATACGGAAGCATGGGCATCATGGTGACGCCCAGGGCACTCAATTGGACCCTCATTCTCTCTTCGGCTGAGTACCGGAGAGCGGTGGGCCACTCATCGTTTGTAAACCCAGCATTCCGCAGGTAAAGCCTGGTTCTGCGTTTCAGTTGGTTGATTTCCGCTTCGACATGACCATTATTGGCGGGGTCATCGCCACCACCAAAGGTATGTCTGAGACCATTTTTTGCACACCAGGCAGCTGTTTGCCTACCAATCAGTTCTTTGGCACGATCGGAGTGGAGACGATTCACATTGATGCCATATGACTTCATACGAACCACCAATTGTGATAGCGCGTTGAGCACTACGGTGGTAGATCGCGACTGAACCGGTTCTACCATGGTCACATGTTTGAGTTTCAGAGGTCGGCTGCACTTGCTGATCTCCTCATCAACCCAGTCACCTGTCTTCTCAGGGGATGCCTCCCCCCCATTTTCAGGGTCAGCCCCCGGAGCATTGGCTGGATCAGGGAACGCCTTTGCAACTTCGTCGCCGAGCTCTGGTGACCCAGATTCTTCTTCCCCCTCCAATGGGAACTCAGATTCCTCCAAACCCTCCCCCCAATCTGGCGCTTCCACCACTTCCGTGGGCGGCTCTTGGAGCGGAGGTTGGTGATCCTCATCGAATACCGGAACTAAGGCGGTGGCTACCACCGCATATTTGACCTGATCCCCAGAAATGGAATCTTTTGTTTTCCCAAACAGAATCACATCTACACCAAGTGACCATGCCGAAGTTCCAGAATACATTCGCCGGCGATGGGGTGGTCCTGCCGCCATATCTAGCACACAAGCACGACAGTCGCGCCTGTACGGTCGATGGCCTTGAAGGATGTGAGTCCTCCATTCTTGACGGCTCAAAGCCTTTTTCAACTGGTTGTCCGCTAATCCACATTGGTGGATCAACAGGTTCAGAGACACCCTCAGGGCGTGTTTGAGTCCTGGGGCCCATGCAGACCAGTCATCGGTCTGTTTGACCCTCTCTGGAATTTCTGGATGCAAGACCTTTCCCTGCGGTCTTTCACAGCGCGCTTGATCCAGATCCTCCAAAAGCGGAAGATTGGACAAGCAAGAGGTTGGTTTCACCCTCTCATGTCCGTACCGACCCTGATCAAACGATATCAACCGCATGTCTGGTTGTTCTAGGAGTTGAGTGACTTCCGGCCATACCCAAAAGGTTGGAGAATTCGCTTCATTTGCCCACACGGCAGGGTCTTCCGGCGACTCCAAAAAGAATCCCACCCTCGGATTGTCATCCGTTTTGGATTCCTCGGCCAGCCGGTGTAACCCAACCTGTTTTAGCAGAAGAGCACTGTCTCCATCCACCTTGTGTTGTTCTTGGTCACTCAGCCCTGGGAGTCCGAACCTGTGCTCACACCGATCTCTCAGTGGTCGCGGTCCAGACTGAAGGGCTCGTAAGCCATTCACTGTCCGACATGGAGGGCCGCCAATGATTGCCACGATTGGGTGAGTTCGCACCACATGTGCGAGAAAGGCCCAAACCTCTGGTCGGTGCAGATTCTGTTGATCACTGTCGGCCGTGTCGACCGTGAGTATTTCGATTCCAGGAGGCCATCCCTTTTGCCACTCTCGAGCAGATTGCCTCGAGCCTGCAAATAAATGGATTATAACCCCCTTCGCCTTCCGCAGGCGCTTGCGCACTCGGCGGTTCCACGGTAGGGTTTCTCCCTTTGGCATTCCAGCATTCTGCCCCACCATGAATTCCAAAACTGAATCCGGAACATCCGGGTACCTTTGATTCCACCATTGACGCTCTTCCGCCGAAAGCTGCCCCGCGGCCAGCTTCGGACCCAATCTCTTGAACCTTTCTTGGTCCTCAATTTCTTTGATGAGTTGAAGCGCATGTTGCTTCCTCACTACCGGGCATCCATTTCTCAACCAACAAGAAATGCGACCCACCTCTGGATGTGAGATGACACACCCCCGCGAATCCCATCGGATTTTGTATCCCAACGCCACAACACCCCGTAGCGGAACGATTGGTTCCACTTCGGTGGGCGAAAGTAGCACTCCGGTAGACATATTCTGGTACAACTGGACAGATCCAGTTGCCAGCTCCACGTCAACCAATGTTGCCGCTTCAATCTCTTCCTTGGACCCTTTTCTCAACGGGTTGGTAGCCCCACCATCCAGGAGACCGGTCTCAATCATCTCGCTGGCAGCCTTACACAAAGCCCCCTTGGCACAGATGGTCTTCATGACCGGCACGATCACCTTCAAAACGGATTTGCAATCCTGCACCATATCGTCCACACCCTCCTTGTCTTCCAACGGTTTAGTCGGAGTACCTTCTTCACGGTACGTGGTGTGACGACTTGGCTCAGCCTTCACTGCAGTTTCCGCACCGCCCTTGGCAGCGGATACAGAACTACTGGCATGATCCTTTTCAACCTTTGTCTTGGCAATCTTCTTTTTTCCCACCGGGCAATCCTTCTTAGAATGCCCCACAGCGGAACACTTGAAACAGCGGTTGTCCTTCGGATTCAAGACCGAGTGAACATACCGACATTGGTCCGCCTTGCGGCAGCCGGTTTCAGTGCCCCAAAATTTGCACGCCATTGACGACGTAACTGATCCAGCATTAGCCGCTGTGATGCCTGACCCCCCAGCTGGTTTCCCAGCCTTGTCGCCTTGGTCAGCACCATCATGCTGAGCTTTGTTTGCTGGAGCGCCCAGGCTTGGTCCATTCAACGACTTAACGTTGACCTTCCCGCCCCCACTCTTGGAGGTAGGTTGGCCCAGTCACAGGCCTTGAATTCACATTCATCTCTTCGGCCTCCGCTTGGAGGTGTTCTGAGTACGACATGACCGTGTCCCTTGTGGGTTGGTGATCCACATTGAGTTGTTGGCGTATCATGTTCAAACGATATGCCACCTGTGGTGACTTCTGGCTCAAAAAGTCCGAAGCCCGCTGCAGAGCTCCAACCAAAACCAACGCATCAGGCAGAGTCACCCCCAATTCAGAGGCTCGGTTCACATTTCTTCTCCAGTGTCGGATACCTTCCAACACTTCGGTCATGGTTTCTCCAAACATACCACCCGTGATGGCCTGAAGGAGTTTGGTGCGCTCACCTGCCCCACCAGGCTGGTAAACGACCATCAATTTGAAGATGATCTGTTCTGAAGTCATCCTTCTTGACGACACCAGGTCATCTCGGATAGCACTAGGAATGGCCTGTAGCAACATCGCCACAGCTCTGCGTTCAGTTCGAGGCCAGAGACTTGCATTGGCATCCAGGGTTGGTCTAAGCCTAAGCCTTTCCAGCGGACCCGATCTCAACCACTCCCCATAGCATGATTCGGCCGCAGACTTCACCATACCCCACCAGAGGTTGGAGGAATACGACAGATCTCCCATTTGGGAATCCACCATACTCATCCAGTCCCCGAATTGTAGGGCCGTCGTGTCGACTGTGAGCCGAGGTAGCTCAAAGGTTCTCAAGGTCTCATTCGGATTCTCTCCCAGAAAGCCGGCTCCCCGACTTACCCCAGCGGGCTCCACTGGAAAAGGAGGAACAGGGAGCGGCGGAGGCGGTGGCGGTCGACCACCACTTCCACTACTCACTCCATCCATCTTCTGCGGTGAAGCTGGCGGTGGTCCTGGAGGCGGTTTCGGTCCGCCCGTCTCTGGAATTTCTTCGGCCGAGGCAAAAGAAGCTTGGGACCCCTGATCCTGCTTCATCATCAACAGCCCTTGCCGAAATTTTTCTTCAGCTTCCCGCAAGCACCTTATACGAAAAAGTTCAATGGGGTCAAGTTCTACATGCGGTTTTTGGGGGGTATCTGGTTCAACCCATTGTCCTATTCCCCGACCTTCGCCTCTCAACCTTTCCATTGCTTTCACCTCAGAGCTCCAAAACGGGTTCAGCTGAACACCAGCAGAAGCGCTTGCTTCCGGCAAACTATCCGGTCTTTTCACCATTTGGGATTCCGGCCCACCATGCTGCAACAACCCCGGAGGTCTTTCTACACTAGCTGGACTACAGAGTTTCCTATCCCCTGGACTAGATCCCATCAGCACAACCCGATCCCCTTTCGAGGCACTACTAGTGATCCCATCCCCATTAGGGTTACCACCAACCACATGACTACCATCTACAGTCCTCTGACCATCTTCTCGCCGAGCAACCGTAGGACCAAGTGCAGTCGGGGAACCAACAGGGTGTCGTAGATCTGCAGCTTCTCGAGGTTCTTCACGCTGTGCATGATGTTCACCATCGCCAGTTTCAAGGACAACCACTCGTCGAACACCTGGTGCTTCATCTCCGAGTTCCAACCCAGCAAAGCTCGCTGGTCCCAGTGGCTTCAACGGTTCCAACGGGAGGAGAGCCCCGGAGGCCGTCGGCCCTTCAACCAAAGCACCCGCTTGGGCGCCACCCACCACGGTGCTAGTCGAGGCACCACTGACGCTCAGAAACTCTGAGCCATGAGCCGCTGCTTTCGGTGCTGCAGTTGTAGTTGGAGTAGCGTTGAGCTCATCCTGCAACCTCTCCAACATTTCCTCTGCGGTTTCACCGGCAGAAGCTTCTTCCTGTCGCTGCGAAGCGCGTCGACGTTCCAACATGGCGCTAAGGCAACGGGTTTGGGCTCATAACCCAAGGGAAACACAGTCGGCCGCCAAGCAACAGCTTGTACCTTTTTTCAGGCCTCAGGTCTTGAGCCAAATGCCCAGTTGCATTCGGCGGGTGCTTATCATCCATGTGCGTGTCATCCTTGCTAGCAGGGGCCTCAAGGCATGGAGCTGCCAGCTGGAGACATCTGCACTATCTTTGAAAAAAGGGGTGGTTATGTGCTTAACTGTTTCACAGCTCGCACTATCAAACACCCCCAGCCACGAAACCATGGTTTAGTAGGGAATTTCATGGAATTTCCAACGAATTGGAACCATTACCCTCTGGTAAACCAACATAGCCTATGGCAAATCACCATTTTTAATGGGAAAATCCACTATTTCGACTGGGCCATTTTCCAGTTCGCAAACTGTTGACATACAGGTTGGGTAGTTGGGGGCGTGGCTTATCCCCGCCCAAATGGTGCCCACAGCGGCCTGGTTGATGGCGGCCCAAAGCCGTGTGGCGTTGCCCACGTAGCCTGCTTTCTTGCAGCCCATGCTGAACCTGGCTGAGTTTCTCAGCGCTGGAAAACCCGAAAACCCCCCTGTTTCAATGAAGGTTGCAATGGGAAATTCACGGAAACTCATATATATATATATATATACATATATATATACATATATATAATTATATTAATGGGAGTTATTGGGAAAATCATCTATCAATGGTGGTTGTGGGACAATCCCCTGTAAATACGGCTTTTTAATATGGGGACATCACCTACACATGTGGATTATATGAAATAAAACTTGGATTTTCTACTATTCCCGAAATTGGTTTTACAAGAAGACCATGGAAGACCTAAAGGATATCCTGTGTTTGGGATTATTCTTGGATAGGACTATGATGATTCTTTTCCTCGGCTGCTAAATACCCACAATTTAGGTGTGGAGGAGATAAAAAGGGAGGGATCCAATGCTAAACCAGGGGGGTGGAGGGGGAATTTCATATTTAGAGGAGTGGATTGCTCCCATCAAAGATTCATATTGACATATTGCAATAATGAACATGAAAGAAATGCAGGGAAAATAAAGTAAAATTGATGGAAAAACATGGGTATAAGCAAAAATGAAAGCACGGTTTTGCAGGCATTGTAACTTTAGATTGCCAGGGAGTACCGGGACAAGGGAGCAACAGAGCTAACCATAGAAATGGTATAAAATATGAAAAAAAATATATACCATCTAGATAGATACTCATTGATCATGGTAGATATAGAGGGCTACTGAACACAAAGGGCAATTTCCAATGGTACCCTCTGGTAAACTAACATAGCTATTGAAAATGGCCATTTATAGTGGATTTTCCCATTAAAAATTGTGATTTTCCATAGTTATGTTAGTTTACCAGAGGGTAAATTTATCATTCAAATAAGCCCATGGAAATTTGGCTAGTCCTTCTGCGGTAATCCAACATGGTGAAAATCCATCGTGTTTTTACACCTGATTAATGTGCCTACGTTTAAACTGAAGAAAATTATCCAAACTATCCAAACCACTCCATGTTTCTTGACCAATTGATGATGATAATGCCGAATATTCCAAAAACATGTCTGTTGCTTGCGCATCATCCCATGGATGGAAACTCAATACATGAAACAACCAGTTGTTTCACACATTGGTTATTGATTTTCTCCAGCACATTTTTGCGGAGCAGCGTGTCAACCCAAACAGTTTGCTCCTGGTGAAGACTTTGCTGGTTAAATCACTGCTTCAGCGGGATTTGACCAAAGTCCAGACCTTTTTCTGCTGGATTGCCCATTTAAAAAGGTGGACTTATACAGGTTAACATATCTAGATTTATAAAGGTTAACAGCATGTTCAAGCCCATTCGATACCAAAATCGAATGATCCAATTACAAAGGTTCAAAGCATATATATATATATTTAAAGCCCTATCTGTTCGATAAATCTACTCAAAGCCAGCTTACCACGATAAAACCCATGAAAAGCTCAAACAAAAATCCATCTTTCGCCACCATCACCTAAATTTCTCATCCAACTTTCAGGTATTTCGCCCAAGCAAAATCGGTGAATTCCCATCCAGCCATGGGAACCCCATGGGAATTCCCTCGGTGTTTCCCCGTGGTTTCCCCATGGTTTCCACGTGGAAACCACGACGACGGGGCACTGGGTGAAGTTCACCGCTCCGAGGCCGTCCAGATCGAAGGCCTCGTCCCAGGCCTCGTCGATGCTGCCGAACCTCGGAGTTGGGGAGTTCTCCCAGGTTTTTCGCAGTTGTTTGGATGGTTAACATGCCAGAATTCAAAAAAATGATCATCATCATCATCATCATCATCATCATCATCATAACCTGATGAAATTTTAGCATATATTTTGCTCATGCATTTGTGCATGGGACGTTTACCCTACAATGAGATGTGCGTCACTATCACTTACTGATTGGGATGGCCATCCAACTGCATCTGAAAATCATCCTAACGCATGGAATACCCCTTTTTGGGTCACATGTTGAACTAATAATTCACTTACTGGTTTCCACTTAATTAAGTTCTTTGGACCTTTCGGAACACATGACCTTTGCGTTCTTCCGTTCTTCCTTACAAAAATCCCGATGCTTCGGGCCAGTCCAAGTTGGATCATCGTTAGCCATGCAGTCCTAGTGCTAATAGGTAGTACCCAAAAAAAAAAGTTCCCCATTTAATTAGATCCCATTCAATATAGTACTACTAATAGAGTTCCCCATTACTATTTAATTAGCTCATATATCCCATGAAAATCCCATTCTTAGAGAAATTCGCAGTATCCAATCTTTGGATAAATTTTCGTTCACCCCAAGACAGCTAACCAGTCACAAAGGTTCGTCCCCCAATATCTATATATATATATATACCACCTGGTTATTTAACATAGCCATGGAAAATCACCATTTTTAATAGGTAAACCATCTATAAATGGGCCATTTTCCATGGCTATGTAACAAATAACCAGAGGGTATATCAAAATACAGTGGGTTTCAATCCATCAACAAAAAAAACCTCCGGTAACCAACTATATACGACTGGAAAACCCGCCCAGTTGCAGATGATTTCCCCAGCAGAGCCCATTTCTATGGTATCGATTGCCATGATTGGCTCACCCGGTGGGCAGCCTATGGCGATTGCTGGCAGGCCAGGGGCTTGGAGATCAAAAACCTCTGAAACTCTGCCACGAAAATCCTCAAGATTTCCTGAAAGCGTTGGGGAATTCGTGACCGGAACTCGCCCAAAAATGGGCCGACGGAGATCTAACTCTGCCAGAAATACGACCGAAATCGCTGGGTTATGAAGTCTCAGGGCCAAAAAACCGTGTGGATTCCATCTGCAGATGGGTAGAAAGCCATCAAAAACGGCTTCAAAAGATGACAAGTTTGGATTCAGGTCTTTCGGAACTTGGTCCAGGTTTTTCTTGCTGAGAATTTCCTACTTTTGCAGAGTCAGGGGTCCAACTTCTGAGGATATACTGGGGCACTACCTAAGTCGATCACGCCACTATACGAGAAATGTAATGCGTGCAACAACTACGCAACAGGTGTCTTTTTTAACGATCCGTGTATCAAACCGCAGATGGAAGTTTGAAGAAACGACAACCACATCTTTTTGCCATTCTTTCTACATTTTTTCCAGATACATCGGATACCGGTATGTTTGGTGGCGTTTTTTTTTCCATAAAAGCCATCAACCCATCAGGCCGTCCACCTGCAACCAAGCCGCAGGCGTCCAGGAGGCATCCAGGAAGGAGAACTCCAAGGCGTCCGCGTTGACTTCGTACCTTTCCGATGCATCGGAGCCTGCTGCCACTACAATCATTGGGTTGGTTTAAGGGAAAATCGAAACCGGAAACCATGGTTTTTACCATCAAATATAGGGTTTTCCTGTAAATTTTCCCATCATCCAATTCTTTGATACAAAAACCTGGGCTCTTCTTGATCCTGTTCCGACCAATTGTATAAACTTGGAAAGCTATCCTGTTCTATCATTCTCCTGTTCTACAACTTGTTTTTTGAATGTAAAGCCAGGGGTGTGAATAGGTACTAAGCCCATTCAAAAAAACATCCTTCAACTGGGATTGGGGCCTATCACTGCAGGGTCCCACGTCGAACCTCGAATGTGCATCCCAGGCATTGCAAGTGATTTATGACTCTTTTTTTCGCTGGGACATCCCAAAAAAATGGACATTCTCTGGGGTGTAATGTGTTAATATGGTACTATATATCCATTCATAACTGGACCTGCACTTCGTCGGCTAGAAGTCAGGTCAGAACAACGCCAAGATGTCTCGGAGGTTCCCCTGATTCAAACCACCATGCTCCATCATTAAACCATCATTTTTCATCTGAGAAACGCGGTGGTCTTCCATCTGAAGAATGAATAGCTGGTTGGTTAATGGTTAAGAGTGGTTAATGATGGTTAATGGTTGGTTAAAAAATTGGCTGGTTGGTGTTTGAGCCACCTACCCCTCTGAAAAATGATGGACTGAAAGTCAGTTGGGATGATTTTCCATTCCCAATATGATGGGAAAGTCATAAAATTCCATGGTTCCAGTCACCACCAACCAGATTAACCATTCTTAACCATTCTTAACCATTCTTAACCATTCTTAACCATTATTAACCATTATTAACCATTATTAACCATTATTAACCATTATTAACCATTATTAACCATTATTAACCATTATTAACCATTATTAACCATTATTGATTAACCACTATTAGCCACTATTAACCATTATTAACCATTATTTACCATTATTAACCATTATTAACCATTATTAACCATTATTAACCATTATTAACCATTATTAACCATTATTAACCATTATTAACCATTATTAACCATTATTAACCATTATTAACCATTATTAACCATTATTAACCATTATTAACCATTATTAACCATTCTTAACCATTCTTAACCATTCTTAACCATTCTTAACCATTCTTAACCATTCTTAACCATTCTTAACCATTCTTAACCATTCTTAACCATTATTAACCATTATTAACCATTATTAACCATTATTAACCATTATTAACCATTATTAACCATTATTAACCATTATTAACCATTATTAACCATTCTTAACCACTATTATCCCATCATCATCCATCGTTTTCCATTTCAAACGTCTTTCCCAGCGCACATGATGCCAGTGAGATGGACCTGGTCATGGCTCCAAACCCCATCCTTCCACATCAGATCGCCGCCGATGCCCGAGCCTCCCAAGGGGGCTGGGTGTCATGGCCGGTCTATGGAGACGTTGATGCTGGAGACCGTTGGTTACAACCCGGTGACCCTCTGGTAAACTAACATAACTATGGTGGAAAATCACCACTTTTAATGGGAAAACTCACTATAAATGGCCATTTTCAATAGCTATGTTAAATTACCAGAGGGTAATTTGAACGTTTTTTAGAGGTGGACGTTGATTTTTGCACGTTTCATGGAAGTATTGCACGGTTCATAGAAGTCATGCACGGTTCATAGAAGTATGCACGTTCACACGCCCGCCATGACGTTCTTGTGGGGAACTCTATCTATAGTTATATGTTCTTTCTTGTTGGAATTGCAATGAAATGTTGGAACCAGAGACTCTGGGACTATGTGTATGCCTTTCAATGGAGAAAGAACAACAAAGGTTGTCTCTGGAAGGCTGTGGGGCAGCTGGCACGTCGGAGACAAAAGTGGCGCCGTCTTTTGCAGATCAAATGCTCAGTTGACCAATGAGCAAACCGTCAGGGTCATTATCAACGTCTTGACCTTGTTTATGTTGTTTATTGGGATTAATCCTTGGGATATATATCGGGATAATCATGGGATAATCCTAAGATTAGTAGGGATACTAGGTATTAATAGGGACAAATATATATATATATATACAGTTTACTAGGATCATCATGGGAAAGTATGTATGGGAAGAATATCTACCCATGTGATACAAAAAACGGTTTAACCGTGTATCCTAAGGTTACTATAATACTATATGTGTTGATTGGAAACATAACGATGATCCTTTGAGGTTTGGGCTCTTGGGGGCAATTTTGCCACGACATACCTACTGGTTGGTGGTTGAGCCACCAACCCCTCTGAAAAATATGAAAGTCAGTTGGGGTTACTATTCCCAACTGAATGGAAAAGTAATCCAAATGTTCCAAACCACCAACCAGCCTAAAATTTACGACTGGAATTTGAAAATATAAGGAATGCAACATGGCACGAGTCGAGGCAGACTTTCACTGTGCCCAGTTGGTGCTGGTTCCAGGCAAGCGCTCAAGGCAAACACCTTTGAAATTAAGCATTGGTACATAGTGGTTTCTACTTACCCTTTGATAATTTAACGTAGCTATTGAAAATGATCATGTATGATTGATTTACCAATTCTAAATTGTGATCTTCCAGTTCGCAAACTGTAAGTTTACCAGAGGGTAGGCATCCAAGTCTGATGATGAACTCCTGCTTGCAGCCGTCCTGTAACTCAGGCTATCCCACATCAAACTGAGGCGATCCCGTCGCATGGTTATCTTTGGTACCCAGCGACAACTCGCCAAACTGCAGGAAAGGGAACTTTCCCTCAAACTGGCCGACCGTTTCTCCACTGAAAAATGGCTGTACCGTCAAACCGGAGACCCCAAGATCCGGTGGTTTATAGAAACTGCCATCTTTAGGTTCCCAGGGCTACCCTTTTAGAACGCCAAAAATGATCGTTCTGGACTCATTCGATTTGCGCCGTTGCAGCATGGCTGCAAATTAGTGGTGGATATCCAACCAAGGTTAAGGGCACCCTCAAGTCCTATGGTTCATGATAATTCCTCACGGCACACGTTTTTTTGCTTGATTTTGCAGATAGATTAAGGTGTGTATACCTCGTTTTCGGACCAAACCAAGTGTTCCCAGAATGGGGGGACCAAAATTCAATGCGGTTTCCTGATGAATGATAACTTGGGCCTCTTGACTCATTAATCCCAATGATTATTCACTGTGAATCATTAACTGATACTTGTACTATCTTGTACTTTACCCAGTTCTCACCGCAGTCACTGTAGCCAAAAAAACTGAAACCACGATCTTAGGAAACACGTACGGTATGTGATCCCATGTTTTGTGGTTAAAACCCATGTGGTCATATGGGTGTGTCTGAAAATCGGCTATACACCTATAACCAAGTTCAATTGCCATAGGTAATGCTAAAGTCCAGCAAAAACCCATGATCCAGCATAATCACAAAGCAATATGTCATAGTTTCATGTTTTTTTCATTGCAAAATTCTGACAAGCAATATTTCATGGTTTCATGTTTTTTCATTGCAAAATTCTGACCCGTTATGATCAATATATATATATATGGGATATTATGGATGAATAATGGGATTATTAGATATGGGATTATTCTATATGGGATTATTCTATATTGGATAATATATATATATATATATGTGTGTGGGATTCTAACCCATTATATATATATATATATTCACATATATACATATATATATATATACAATCCCACAGAATCCCATAGAATCCCGCCGACCACCCCACCTTTCTGCGGTCGCAGCTGCACTAAATGGAATCCACCAGGGCCCGAGCCGCTGGTGACCTCGACGGAGCCGCGATAGTAGTTTGGTGTTAAACATACGGCATTTTTTAATGGAATATATATGATATATACATATATATATAATAATAATAATCCCATATAGAATAATCCCATATCTAATAATCCCATCATTCATCCATAATATCCCATATAAATATATAAATATATATAATGAATATATAAATAGATATGATATGATATGATATGATATGATATGATATGATGTGATATGATATGAAAGATAATGTAGTTAGATGTTTACATGTTTATACTGGATATATATATATATATATGTGACATATTGTTTCACAGGATTTAATATGTTTAACATGATATTGAGCAAATAATGCGAATATAACATATATATATATATAACATTATGTAACTATAATTACATATATATATATGCATGTCAATGCATATTGATGTATATATTATATGTCATCTGGAAAATGTATGAAAAGGTCGCTTGAAATATATGGGTGGTTCTTAAACAAAGACTGCGGTTTATTGCAAAAATGCTTGGGTTTTATCGACCGCTAGAAGTGCTTTTGCTATGAGGAAATGGTTGATTTTTGGTTGGGATCTCAGACCTGCGGATTTACCCCAAATGGTATTTTTTTACAAAAAACGATGGAAAGATCCACCATTTAGTGAATTTTCCCATGAAAAATGGTGGATTTACCCATTAAAGATGGTGATTTATAGTGGATTTACCCATTAAAGATTGTGATTTTCCATCGTTTTGTGTTAATGTTTACCATTTCGGGTAACAAACCACCAGAAATTGAGGATTACACCTGTGGATTGAAAAAAAATCACCCGTGGGATGACCTGTTGGCCGACAATATTCATGCGCTTTTTTTATGGCATATGTTTGAAACACGAGCAGATGAACAGATGTTTTCAGGGTTTAGGGCGAGTTTCAAGTGTTTCAAGTAGGGCGAGTTCCAAGATTTTTGAGGTCCATGATTTGGGGGAAAGATTGAAGCCTCCAGTAGGATGATCTTCATCCTGAGCAGCATCCCATTTTCACTGGGTTCCTGGTTCTTTTTTGACCCAAACCAATCCCCAGAACCTCCATTCTTTGGTGATAAATCCTCATGATTTCTGGATAAGTCATGAGTAAAATCTCATATTTTTTGCCAGATAAATCATTTTGCCAGATCTATATATCTCCATGTTTGCAAAAACTCAAAAAAAACTCAGAATTTATGCTAGTCGCCTCCATGTTTTTTTGAATTGTTAGTAGAATTCTTGTGGTGCAAAACCTGCAATAAATTCTGGTGCAAAACTCACCACCGCCATGTTTTGCCATAGGCAAAATCCACCATTTGTCCCAGCGAAACCCAAGAAATCCATAGAAATCCACTCAGTCTACTCGAGTTTTACCATGTGTTCAACCATGTTTTACCTGCATACCACCAGTTTTTGCTGTTTTTTTCTATGTGTCTCACCATATTTTTGGAGAAAAAAGAATCCCAGCATTCTTGACAAATTGCTGTGATATGTTCACCCCATTTTTTCACAGGTTTTCCCTACAAAAATCAATTTGTTCACCATTTTTTCACCATTTTTCCAGGAGATCCACCCAAAAAATCGGTCGTTCGGAGCCGCGGCGCAAAGTGCATGACCTCCTTGGGACGGCAGCTCTCCGGGAGGATGGCCACCGGCCGCTTGGAGTCCGAGCCCTGGCGATGGTGATGGCCGGGTGGAGAAGACACTTCTTTTCAGTGGTGATATCTGGTTAATTAATGGTGATTTTATGGTGATTTTATGGTAATTAATGATGATTAATGATGGTTAATGATGGTTAATGATGGTTAATGATGGTTGAGAGTGGTTAATGGTGATTTTATCTGGTGGATTTACCCAGCTACAAAATGCTGGATCTTTCCCAGTTCGTTTTTTGTGTGTTTTCCAAATGTGCCAAACCACCATTTTGATGGTTAATGATGGTTAATCATTGGCTAAACAGATATATAGTGGATTAACAGCTCGCCATTAAAAAAATGCCATTTATAGCTATTAAACAAATTAAACATGGTGGATCTTTTGATTTTCAGTGTAGATTTACCCAGCTACAAAATGGTGGATCTTTCCATAGTTATGTAGATTTTATAAACATCTTCTGATTGGTGGTTGAGCCCTACCCTGAATAAGTGGTTAATGATGGTTAATAGTGGTTAATGATGGTTAATGATGGTTAATAGTGGTTAATGATGGTTAATGATGGTTAATGATGGTTAATAGTGGTTAATGATGGTTT